TGAGACACAAAAGAAGTAGATGCCTGGCTGAGAAATATAATGGAAGGAGGGCTTTCCTGTATGAACTGCACTGTATCTGCAGATTCACTGTACTGGTAACATCAGAAACTGTTTTCGTGAGCATGTCTGTGATCTTTCTGCAAGCCTTCCTAACACTTTCTTTTTCAGTTCTTCTTCTTGAATTTCTTCTTTCTTTTCTGTGAGACCCACTCGCATAAGACGTCCAACATCACGTTCCACGAGATGCATAATGATGAATGTATCACAGTCTGTAATCATGCAAATTCAAATTTTTCATATCAATTATTATTAATTTTTTAATTATTATTTTTTTTTTTTGTCAATTGGGGGGATATGGCCCTTTGTTAACCCCCTTTACCTCTGGCTGCGCATCTAAAAATCTCAAAACGTACCAGAAAGGAGTCAATATACAGAACTTTTATCATAGATAGGTTAGTGATTTGGGCTACGAATATTTACTAATACCCTCCTTGATCTCCATTTTAGCTTAAACAAAATCATACTGAGTCCAAGAAAAATGACCAAAGGGTATTTATATTACCATTTTCATAACTAAACACATCATTATGTTTTTGCATGATATATGGCACTACCTACCATAGATTAAGGACTTGAGAATTTAAAGAAAGCAGGACAATTTTCAGTTCACACCCAACCAACGATTATCCTGATGTGGCTATGTGTTTTCTGGGGAAATATGTAGTAAACTAAATGATGTTCTACATCACATCCGTCGCACTTGAAAACTAAGCATTTGCGACGGAGTGATGTAGAACTCAATCAATTGAGAACTGTTATTGAAATGATAAAGACTTAAAGACAGGACAAAGTGCTTTTAAAACCTACAAACGGAAGTCAGTTTGCTTTGTAGGTTTTTTCTTTATAGTATTTCTACGCAAAAATGCGTCTTATCTGGTCCATGCATCTTTACTGGTCAAGTAACCCTATCAGGTACCTCCCTTTTTTAAAACATTTAGAGGCGGAAAACAAACATTTATCCCATAACACATCAATTGTCTAACAACAACACTTCATTTATTTGTCACAGTACAAGTCTAGATTAACGGTAATTACACGAGAAAATTGGAGAGGAATCTCCCATCCTCACCCCATTTAGTGGGAAAACACAGACTCTTTTCTGATGTAAACAAAGGCTGTTTGAGTGTGCCATCTATGGTTAGGTTTATTTATTTTTATTTTATTTTATTTCATTTTTATTTTTGTTTTGGTTAATTTTTAAAAATCAATTTTACTCTCCAAACACTTGAACTTTTTAGGTAGGGACCCCTTTGCACTTGCACCATGTGTGCAGTCTTGGATGAGCCCCTGAACCCCTTGGACCGCGGGGCCCCCCAAATGCGTGGGGCATTAGGCAAATGCCTAGTTTGCCTATGCGGTAATCAGGCCCTGTATACAGCCCTGCTGTCCAGGTATATATATATCTTTATTTACTACAAGTACATGTACAAGGTATACAGACCATAGCTGACATCAATGACATACTACTGTATAGAAAACTGCTAGTTAAGCAGAGCATTTGGGTAAGTTAGGTCAGTTTTGTCCCAGGATGCGACCCACACCAGTCGACTAACACTCAGGTACCCATTTTACCTATGGGTGAACATAGACAACAGGTGTAAAGAAACACGCCCAATATTTGTACCCTCGCTGGGAATCGAACCCATATCCTCGCCGTGTGAAACGAGAGCTTTAGTCACCAGACCACGGGGCACTGTAAGTTAATGTGGAAGAAGCACTGTATATAATTTTATTTAGGTACTGGTATACGTAAGTGCAGTTATCAAATATAGTGTAAATTACCTAAGATAACCTAGAAAAGTCAATGTGACTTTTGGGGCTCAAAGTGACACTGGGGTTCTTGACCGGACGAAGAAATTAAACAGGAATTCAACTGCACTCATGCATTATCACTACTGTCTTAAGGAAATATGCCTAAATCGAACCATGGACCTCAGTGTGTGAGCTGAGTGCGCTACCTATTGAGCTACAGGACGCCTCTTCTGATTGACTTCACTTCACTAATATTTAAAAGTATTACAGAATCATGTGCACTCTGCATTGTACTACACATGTGCACTGTGGTGAAATGGGCTGGTGTTATGTAGTATGGGAATACCTTCCTTGCATTGTGCAGCAATTGTGATGATGATGATGATGATGATGATGATGATTGATGATGATTGATGATGATGACTGATGATGATGATTGATGATGATGACTGATGATGATGATTGATGATGATGATTGATGATGATGAATGATGATGATGTCTTCATTTCTACAAGTACATGTACAAGGTATACAGACCATAGCTGACCTCAATGACATACTACTATATAGAAAGCCGCTTGTTATGCAGAGCATTTCGGGTAAATTAGGTCAGTTTTGTCCCAGGATGCGACCCACACCAGTCTACTAACTGACTGGAAACATAGACAACCGGTGTAAAGAAACACTCCCAATGTTTCTACCCTCGCTGGGAATCGAACCCAGACCCTTCGCCATTGTGAACGAGAGCTTTTAGCCACTTAGGCCCCCCGGGGAACATAGAGGGACACTGTGAGATAGGAGACTATTCACCTCACCACTTGAGTTAAAGGAGACATATCAATGAATATAATAAGATTAAACATACTGACCTCAATATTTGTTCATGTGATAATGTTAATATGGTTATCTTAGAATTTTATGTGACTGCTGGGTCATAGTTGGTGGCCACAAACACAGATATTGTGGAAAATTGCATTTATNCCTTACTGAATGTATCATTATGTACATAACAGTAAATGAACAAACATAATTATTATTTATCAGTCAGACAAGTAGGAATTTGGGACACCTAGGTCACAAAAAAATGTCCCCCTTCGATACCTACCACTGTCATATCCACAAGTTGCTCTGGACCTATTAATTATAAATGAAAAATACATCTCCAGGAATACTGGTAAATATATAAATTTGTGGACTGTACATTAAAAATAATAAATGGTTATATATATACACACATTTACATAACAGAAGGAGAATATATCTTAATCATAACACTCACCAATTTATGAAAAATTTACTGGTCAGAAATTAAACATAAATTAGACAGCTTATCTGAGGTTCATGGAGTTGTCCTGTCCTGTCGCCTGATACTCAAATTATGCAGGAATGCACATCCAACAATTTTGCCTCCTATTTGAGAGGTGTCAACACATTTTAAAGTTACCACCTCTAGACCAGATAAAATTCTTTCTTCCCGTTATCCCACAACGTCTGTTATTCCAATTCAAAACAAAATGGCGACTCAGCCTTTGCAGGTGCAGAAAATTCCCATTTTCCTTAATAATTTTTTTTTTATTAAATACCAATTAAGCAAGCCATCTATTTACCTATAAATTACCGTATTTTCGGAAAATATACAGTATTTTCCACAGATATGACACAGAAGTGTTACCTCTGAAATCTTCCTATTAGAAGCCTCGTAGATCAATAGTATAGTGCTGGATGAGCTATGTATCATTACAACGTTTCGACTCTCCGCTCATTCTTGTTTATTCATATCAGATCATTATTAACTGGTAGTTACAGTAAGAGGTAGACATGATACACGGATAATGCCATCAGTGGGCATGAGAGAAATGAAATTTATTAAATTAACTGAGGTAGAAAAAGTAAAATATAAACAATTATCGGGAGAAAAGTGTGGAGGACCAGTGAGAGTACACTGAGGAGGAGGCAAAGACGGTATGTGAAAGATTTAAGAACGCAATGTTAGAGTGCGCAGCAAAATACTCGCTCCCTTCCTGTTCCTCATCCTCATAACTGACATAGGGATGGAAGCCACACACCGTGTCTTCCTTTGCCGATGATACCCGAATTTGCATAACAGTTCCATCCATCGAAGGAACTGCAGTCTCCAAACGACATTAACCAAATCTTTAAATGGGCCACAGAAAATATGAAGTTCAGCGAAGACAAATTTCTATTACTCCGATATGGAAAACTTGAGGAAATTAAAAATGTATCGGTGTATAAAATAAATTTCAACCAGTCACACAAATAGAGCGAAAAAAACTAATGTGAAAGGAACTGAGAGTGATAATGTCACAGATCTTCACTTTCAAAGATCGCAACAAATGTATTCACCACACCTTGCTAGGAAAGTGATAGGATTTAGCATGAAAAGTGTCAATACTAGGGATGCTAAGCCCATATAATTCTCTTCAAATCATTTGTTTCTCTAGGCTGGAATACTGTTTGTAACAATAACGGCCCCTTTTCAAGCAGGTGAAATGCAGACATAGAGAAGTGTACAGAGAACTTTCACGGCTCAGATAATATTAAAAAGTACCTAAAATTACTAACCGTTGATGTATTGGCTGGAATGTAGGCGAGGAAGATACATAATATACTTGGAAAATCCTAGAGGGACTATCCCAAATTTGCACATGAAAATCACTCCCTATGAAAGCAAAAGACTCGGCAGGAGATGCAACAACTCTCAATGAAAAGCAGTGGTGCCACGAAAACGCCAAGATATAACACAATAAGTGTCAGGGGTTCAAGACTGTTTAACTACCTTCCAACATACATAAGGGGGATTACCAAAAGACCCCTGGGTGTCTTCAAGAAGACGCTGAACAGGCACCTGAAGTCAGTACCTGACCAGCCAGGCTGTTGTTCGTACGTCGGTTTTGCATGTAGCCACCAGTAACAGCCTGGTTGATCAGGTCCTGATCCACTGCGAGGCCTGGTTACAGACCGGGCCGCGGGGGCGTTGTTATATACACTTGGAATATACCCTCTCCAGGTATACTCCAGATGTATATAACAATCTTCGATCAAATATACCCATAAAAATAGTGTTTTTGAGTGTGCTGACAACTTCTGTAAATATTATGTTTGGCAACCTGGAGAATCTTACTCGTGGTACTCTGAACACACACACACACTCAGGCGATAACCACAGACCAGCTTGCTGTGACCTGCTCTTCCACTCTCTCCTCTGAGGAGTTCCATAAAAGTCCTGTGATCAACTTGTTCTTCAAATATTCATTTTATCAACCTGTTCAAACAATTCCGTGAACTACTTACTATCCAAACAGTTCCGTGAACTACCTACTATCCAAACAGTTCTGTGAACTACCTACTATACAAATAGTTCCGAGAAGTATTCTTACTCCAAATTGTCGTGTGTAAATCCCTCTAGCCTAACATCTCTCTACCAATAAACAACGTTTTTCCTTAAAGAGTAAGTATATTATTTATAAAGACTCATGAATGTTGCTGTGTCAATGTGTAATGATTATTTCTCAACGGGAAGCTATAAGTACATGAAGACAAATGGAGGATAGTAAATTTGTCTCTCTCAACCTGTAATCGAGGACGGAACACCTTGGAGAGCATCTCGGTTGTTGATTGAACTATTCAAACAAAATTCCTTTCTTGTTTGATATATTCACATGAGTTATATCCTCCCATTAATTTACAAATGTTTTACATAAGGTAAGTAGTGGACTTATACCTGGAATAGCGCTTGGCTCACAAGCGAAAGGATCCAGATTCGAATACTGGGCGAGACGGGACAAGAGGTTACGTCTCCTTAAAAATATTTGCTAGCTGTTACCTAATCTGTTATCTCCACACATTGAGGAAGGAGGAACAAGCCTCCACTTCTCATTACACTGAATGACCCACACGAGTTATTTGTTTTTCACCATCACCCCACTCCACTCTTTCCACTATATGCTTAAAAAACGATCAAGTGAAACTCATATTGGCATTACTGTTTTGCAGTGTGTGACACACAAGCAGAAGGGGCAATGAATGGCTGGCATGCAGAAGAGGCAGTGAATGGCTGGCATGCAGAAGAGGCAGTGAATGGCTGGCATGCAGAAGAGGCAGTGAATGGCTGGCATGCAGAAGAGGTAGTCAATGGCAGGCAAGCAGACAAGGCAATAGATAGGCAGCAATTAGAAGAGGTGAATGAGACTCCACAAAAAACATATCGAAGTCTCATCACAGAGTCGCATGTCAAAAAAGCCCTGAAGTCACAACAAGGCAGCAGTGCACAGCTGCTCTCATGGACTGTTACAGACTTCACTGACAGAGGCGACAACTATGCATGCGTCGTGACAAGTGTAGATGTTCGTTATCATAAAGAAGGAAAAGACAGGAAAACCTCATTTGTAGTGAAATGTAATCCATGTCGGGTCCTCCCATTCTTCAATGGATTTTCGACCATAATTTTTCAGAAGGAGGCAGGATATTACCTGGAACTTTTGCCCTTACTCAACGTTCAGCTCAGTCATGTAGGACGTGAACCAATACGGGCTCCTCACTGTTACTTTGCTCATATTACTGAGAAAGAGGAAGTTATATTCCTTGAAGATTTGCGTCAGGAAGGTTTCAAAATGTTTGACCGTATGAAAGGAATGGACAAGGCTCACGCTGTCCTTGTCCTCAAGGAACTAGGCAAACTTCACGCTGCCTCTATCTTATATCAGAAAGAAGCATCAATAGTATTAGAAGACAAGTACACATATATTCAGAAAGACTTTCACTCAATGCTTGGAGGCGATGACTTTAAGAAAATGCTTAGTTCACAAGCTCAGAATGCAGCAGAGATAGCAGAGAGAATCGTTGGATACAAAAAAGTCGCTGATTGGCTGAAAGACTTTGCACCAAGTAGCATGGACGTCTTCGTGGAGCAAATTAAGAGGAGTCCTCCCTTTGATGTGCTTTGTCATGGTGACTGCTGGAACAACAACATCTTGTTCAAGTAGGGATGAAATTATTATATTCGTGTGAAAGCGCTCAAACCCATAGTGGTCAGGCACCCCCTAAGGGGAATCGTGTTTATTCAGGTTTGCCAAAGCCGAATTGCTATACTCTCGTCTCATGGGAGGGGTCAAAGGGTCAAGTCCCTTACGGAGGACTGAACCTAGGTGTCTTGCACACATACACAATGAGGGGTAGCTCCAATTTCTTTAACCAAGGGGAAGAGGGGGGCTCAATTTTTCAGCCTTTGAGAGCCCACTTCAGCTCATTATTAATTTCTTGTTATATTCATGACTCAAAGTTAATTTCTCTGTTTCCAATGACTAGCGTTCATTACACTTCCAACATTATACATTAATATTTACAATACCACAATAAGGAGGTATTTTTTTTATTAACACATCGGCCGTTTCCCACCAAGGTAGGGTGGCTCGAAAAAGAAAAACTTTCACTATCATTCACTCCATCACTGTCTTGCCAAAAGCACACTTACACTAGTTATAAAACTGCAACATTAACACCTCTCCTTCAGAGTGCAAACACTATACTTCCCATCTCCAGGACTCAAGTCCAGCCTGCCGGTTTCCCTGAATTCCTTCATAAATGTTACCTTGCTAACTCTCCAACAGCACGTCAAGTCCTAAAAACGTTTTGTTTCCATTCGCTTTTAACACGCTCACGCGCGCTTGCTGGAAGTCCAAGCCCCTCGCACACAAAACTTCCTTTACTCTCTCCCTCCAGCCTTTCGTAGACCGACCTCAACTGCGCCTTCCCTCCACAACAGATTTATACACTCTCGAAGTCATTCTATTTTGTTCCATTACTCTCTATATGTCCGAACCACCTCAACAACCCTTCCTCAGCCCTCTAATTTCCGAACTACGAATTCTCTGCATTATATTCACACCACACATTGCCCTCAGACACGACATCTCCACTGCCTCCAGCCTTCTCCTTGTTGCAACATTCTCCACCCATGCTTCACACCCAAGTAATGTTTTACTAAATAGTTTAACTACACTGAATATTAATTAAAGCACTTTTGTCATCTTTCACTTACATTCCGAAAGAATTTTTCTTGAAAATGTTGCCGAGACTTCACGAAACATTTGGAATTCAACTACTATTCACTGTGGTTAAATTCCATACAAATGAATAAACAAAAAGGTGGACGGGAGAGACTAACCGTGGTTCAGAGTTTAATAGGTCCAATGGTTTACCAGTGAGCTATCGGGCTGGATTTGCTGATCTGGGGACCATGGTTCGAGCCTCCCGTCCACCTTTCTGCTTATTCAGCGACAGTCGTTTATTATGACCTAAATTGACTTCCATGCAAATATTTATCCAACAGGTACGATGAGACAGGTGTCCCGGTCGATGTAAGACTGCTGGACTTCCAAATCAGTCGCAAAGCCTCGCCAGCCACAGACCTCAACTACTTCATGTACACCAGTTTCAATGGTCCTGAAAGGAAGGACAATTTGGAAACCTTCTTGAATGTTTACTATGAGTCCTTAAGAGAGGTGCTGGAGGCAGGAGGAACCAAAGCTGAGTTTACATCTCAGGAACTACGAGAGGAATATCACAAGAAGAACTTGTTTGGTTTGATAATGGCAATGATGGTTGTACCTGTTGTGGTGAGTCAGGCAGCGGATGTGATTGATCTGGATAATACAACCGAAGGAGAACATGAAACCTTTGTAGAGTATCTCAGGGAGAAAATGTTGAAACAACTGGATAGTAATCCACTGCTGCGACCCCGATTTATTTCTATATTTGATGAGATGTTAGAATATGGAGTAATATCTTAGTTGGTAATCTTAAACAGATCTTGTTACGGAGTTATGGAACACATAGTATTAGTAGTTAAAGATTGTTGAATAATGTCTAAAATGGAAGAAACGTTTGTATATTTGATATTTTAGAAATTCAAATTCAAGTTAAAATTAAAAATTTATTTCCACGTGATTCATTGTACATAAATGGGTGATGACCGATAATGCATGTAGAAAGTCCATAGTTACGTAGAGCATTTCTGTGGCAAGCTTAAGCCTAACTTAAGACTACATGGGTAACAAGCATATATATACATTATATATATATATATATATATATATATATATATATATATATATATATATATAATATATATATATATATATATATATATATATATATATATATATATATATATATATATTATTAGTAGTGCCTAATAGGTAAAACTTCCGATTTTGGCTTAAACAGCAAGATAAAATTTGTGTATACAATAATATCGCAAAAATCATACTGAACCTAACGAAAAAAATATATTTCATTCTGTCTGTTTATTATTAAAATACTGTAAACTTATCTAAAATATATTTAATTGGATTAGGCTAAATTAAATTGCTTTTGTTATAATACGGTTAGGTAAGTTTTTTAAGGTTCTTCTGGTACAAAATTATTAATTTTTACATTAACATAAATGAAAAACATATATCTTTAAACGTAAATCAGAAAATTTTAGGAGTTAATTTTAAATGAGTTCTTGCTAATTGACCAGTTTTATCTGTTCGACATGAGACACGCACGCACACACGCACACACACACACACACACACACACACACACACACACACACACACACACACACACACACACACACACACACACACACATATATATATATATATATATAATATATATATATATATATATATATATAATATATATATATATATATATATATATATATATATATATATATATATATATATTCTCAGAGAAAAGAATAAACTTACTTCATTGAAAAGTTGATACTCTCCCCGGAGCGTTTGAATATTTTCTTCTCCTACCACCCTCTATATTCAATATTCTAAGTGAACTTTAAAGACAAAATACGTTAACAAAAATACAATAGGAAGTAGAACAACATAAGTAACATTTCAGAGCTACATCTCAAATACTTCGTCCAGCTCCATGGTGGTGGGTAGAGTGCCCAGAATGCTGCAGGCACTGGATCGCAACACTGAGTCTCTGAAAGACGAAGTTGGCCACTCTGTGATCCTTGTTTTCTGTGATGAGTTTTTCACCCAGTTCTCCGAGGAACTTTAGAGCACACTTGTCCCAAAGCTCCAAGGGCGCCGACCCTAATGGGATGAAGTTATAGCAAGGGGGCAGGTCTACATGTTTTGTGGATCTTCTAGGTGTCCCTGTAACTGGCAGCTCCACCCTCTTCAGCTTCAGAGTATGGCAAGTAGGCGTCCGCCAAAGTGGCACCACCTGGAGTTTACCTGGAGAGAGTTCCGGGGGTCAACGCCCCCGCGGCCCGGTCTGTGACCAGGCCTCCTGGTGGATCAGAGCCTGATCAACCAGGCTGTTGCTGCTGGCTGCACGCAAACCAACGTACGAGCCACAGCCCGGCTGATCAGGAACTGACTTTAGGTGCTTGTCCAGTGCCAGCTTGAAGACTGCCAGGGGTCTGTTGGTAATCCCCCTTATGTGTGCTGGGAGGCAGTTGAACAGTCTCGGGCCCCTGACACTTATTGTATGGTCTCTTAACGTGCTAGTGACACCCCTGCTTTTCATTGGGGGGATGGTGCATCGTCTGCCAAGTCTTTTGCTTTCGTAGTCCCAGGCAATCTGCTTACCATCTTTCCAGGGTAGCATAGTGACTCTCTCTGGACGCTTTTGATAAGTAAGTTTATTCAGGTATACACAAATACAGTTACACAGATTATGATACATGCCATAGTGAAGAACTCTGTTCCACAAGGAACAGTACTCGCCCCCATCTTATTCCTTATCCTCATATCAGACATAGACAGAGATATACACCACAGCACCGTATCATCCTTTGCGGATGATACTAGGATCTGGATGAGGCTGTCATCTGCTGAGGACGCGGTTAACCTCCAAGAAGATATAAACAAAGTTTTCCAGTGGGCAACGGTAAACAATATGATGTTCAATGAGGACAAATTCCAACTACTCCGTTATGGAAAACTGGAGGAGATAATAACTAGAACAGAGTATACTGCTGACTCCGGCCATACAATAGAGCGGAAAAATAATGTAAGGGACCTGGGAGTAGTAATGTCTGAGGATCTCACTTTCAAGGATCACAACAGTGCCACGATCGCACGTGCAAAGAAAATGATAGGATGGATAATGAGAACTTTCAAAACGAGAGATGCCAAGCCCATGATGATCCTTATCAAATCACTTGTTCTCTCTAGGCTGGAATACTGCTGTACATTAACATCTCCATTCAGAGCAGGTGAAATCGCAGATCTAGAGAGTGTACAGAGATCCTTTACTGCACGTATAAGTTCTGTCAAGCACCTTAACTACTGGGAACGCTTGGAAGCACTTGACTTGTACTTGTTGGAACGCAGGAGGGAGAGATATATCATAATCTACACTTGGAAAATCTTGGAAGGAATGGTCCCAAATCTGCAAACAGAAATCACTCCTACGAAAGTAAAAGACTGGGCAGGCGATGCAAAATGCCCCCAATAAAAAGTAGGGGCGCCATTGGTACACTAAGGGAAAACACCATAAGTGTCCGGGGCCCAAAACTGTTCAACAGCCTCCCATCAAGCATTAGGGGAATTGCCAATAAACCCCTGGCTGCCTTCAAGAGAGAGCTGGACAGATACCTAAAGTCAGTGCCGGATCAGCCGGGCTGTGGCTCGTACGTTGGACTGCGTGCGGCCAGCAGTAACAGCCTAGTTGATCAGGCCCTGATCCATCGGGAGGCCTGGTCATGGACCGGGCCGCGGGGGCGTTGATCCCCGGAATAACCTCCAGGTAACCAGGTAGCAGCATATGTGTAAAGTACCAAGGATGACCCAAAAAAAGTCAGAGTGATTTCAATCAGACCTCAGTAATTGGAGTTCTCATTGAGCTGGGCAACGGGCTGTGGCGTGACTTCTCTTTATGAAGTCGTTGACCTCCTCATGTCTAATGTACTTCCCTTCTGATGAATGACACACGAGACCATGAAGTCCGAATTGATCAGCCGACACCCTGCTGCATATATATATATATATATATATATATATATATATATTATATATATATATATATATATAATATATATATATATATATATATATATATATATATATATATATAATTTTTTCAACAAGTCGGCCGTCTCCCACCGAGGCAGGGTGACCCAAAAAGAAAGAAAATCCCCCAAAAGAAAACACTTTCATCATCATTCAACACTTTCACCTCACTCACACAATCACTGTTTTTGCAGAGGTGCTCAGAACACAACAGTTTAGAAGCATATACGTATGAAGATACACAATATATCCCTCCAAACCGCTAATATCCCAAACCCCTCCTTTAAAGTGCAGGCATTGTACTTCCCATTTCCAGGACTCAAGTCCGGCTATATAAAAATAACCGGTTTCCCTGAATCCCTTCACTAAATATTACCCTGCTCACACTCCAACAGATCGTCAGGTCCCAAATACCATTCGTCTTCATTCACTCCTATTGAACACGCTCATGCACGCCTGCTGGAAGTCCAAGCCCCTCGCCCACAAAACCTCCCTTACCCCTTCCTTCCAACCTTTTCGAGGACGACCCCCTACCCGGCCTTCCTTCTCCTACAGATTTAAATGCTCTCCACGTCATTCTACTTTGATCCATTCTCTTTAAATGACCAACCACCTCAACAACCCCTCTTCGGCCCTCTGACTAATACTTTTATTAACTCCACACCTTCTCCTAATTTCCACACTCCGAATTTTCTGCATAATATTTACACCACACATTGCCCTTAGACAGGACATTTCCACTGCCTCCAGCCGCCTCCTCACTGCTGCATTTACAACCCAAGCTTCACACCCATATAAGAGTGTTGGTACTACTATACTTTCATACATTCCCTTCTTTGCCTCCATAGATAACGTTTTATGACTCCACATATACCTCAACGCACCACTCACCTTTTTTACCTCATCAATCCGATGATTAACCTCATCCTTCATAAATCCATCTGCCGACACGTCAACTCCCAAGTATCTGAAAACATTCACTTCTTCCATACTCCTCCTCCCCAATTTGATATCCAATTTTTCTTTATCTAAATCATTTGATACCCTCATCACCTTACTCTTTTCTATGTTCACTTTCAACTTTCTACCTTTACACACACTCCCAAACTCATCCACTAACCTTCGCAATTTTTCTTTAGAATCTCCCATAAGCACAGTATCATCAGCAAAAAGTAACTGTGTCAATTCCCATTTTGTATTTGATTCCCCATAATTTAATCCCACCCCTCTCTCGAACACCCTAGCATTTGTGTTACCCTTGGTCAGACCACCCTAGCATTTACTTCTTTCACAACCCCATCTATAAATATATTAAACAACCATCGTGACATTACGCATCCCTGTCTAAGACCTACTTTTACCGGGAAGTAGTCTCCCTCTCTTCTACACACCCTAACCTGAGCCTCACTATCCTCATAAAAACTCTTTACAGCATTTAGTAACTTACTACCTATTCCATATACTTGCAACATCTGCCACATTGCTTCCCTATCCACTCTATCATATGCCTTTTCTAAATCCATAAATGCAATAAAAACTTCCCTACCTTTCTCTAAATACTGTTCACATATATGCTTCAATGTAAACACTTGATCTACACATCCCCTACCCACTCTGAAACCTCCTTGCTCATCCACAATCCTACATTCTGTCTTACCTCTAATTCTTTCAATAATAACCCTACCGTACACTTTTCCTGGTATACTCAGTAAACTTATTCCTCTATAATTTTTAGAATCTCTTTTGTCCCCCTTCCCTTTACATAAAGGGACTATACATGCTCTCCGCCAATCCCTAGGTACCTTCCCCTCTTTCATGCATTTATTAAACAAAAGTACCAACCACTCCAACACTGTATCCCCCCATGCTTTTAACATTTCTGTCATGATCCCATCAGTTCCAGTTGCTTTACCCCCTTTCATTCTACGTAATGCCTCACGTACCTCCCCCACACTTACATTCTGCTCTTCTTCACTCCTAAAAGATGGTATACCTCCCTGGCCAGTGCATGAAATTACCGCCTCCCTTTCTTCCTTAACATTTAAAAGTTCCTCAAAATATTCTCGCCATCTACCTAATACCTCCCTCTCCCCATCTACTAAACTCCCTACTCTGTTTTTAACTGACAAAATCCATACGTTCCCTAGGCTTTCTTAACTTGTTTACTCACTCCAAAAATTTTTCTTATTTTCATTAAAAATTTCTTGACAGTGCCTCTCCCACTCTATCATCTGCTCTCCTTTTGCACTCTCTCACCACTCTCTTCTCCTTTCTTTTACTCTCCATATACTCTGCCTTCTTATAACACTTCTGCTTTGTAAAAACCTCTCATAAGCTAACTTTTTCTCTTTTATCACACCCTTTACTTCATCATTCCACCAATCACTCCTCTTCACCTCCTGCCCCCACCCTCCTATAACCACAAACTTCTGCCCCACATTCTAATACTGCATTTTTTAAAACTCATCCAACCCTCTTCAACCCCCCCACTACTCATCTTTGCACTAGCCCACCTTTCTGCCAATAGTCGCTTATATCTCACCCGAACTTCCTCCTCCCTTAGTTTATACACTTTCACTTCCCTCCTAACTTGTTCTTGCCACCTCCTCTTGTCCCATCTACCTCTTACTCTAACTGTAGGTAAAAACTAAAAATGATCAAATATATCAGTTGCCCTCTATAAACATGTACATCCTGGACCACCTATTAACTTTATCCCCCAAATCAAAATCAAAAACATATATATATATTTTAAATTATATTACACACCGGCCGATTCCCACCAAGGGGGGTGGCCCCAAAAAGAAAAACTTTCACCATCATTTTACTCCCCACTGTCTTGCAGAAGGTGCTTTACATACAGTTTTTTAAAATGCAACATTAACCCCCTCCTTCAGAGTGCAGGCCTGTACTTCCCCTCCAGGACTGTCCGGCCGCCCGGGGGTTTCCCGAATCCCTTCATAAATGTTACTTTGCTCCACTCCAACACACTCAAGTATTAAAAACCATTTTTCCCATTCAACCATCAAACACGCCCACGCAGCCCGCTGGAATCCAAGCCCCCCGCACACAAAACCCCCTTTACCCCCCCCTCCAACCCTTCCTAGGGCCCACCCCACCCCGCCTTCCTTCCACTACAAATGATACACCTTTAAGTCATTCTGTTTTTGCTCCCTTTTTTCTCTACTGTCCGAAAACCAACCCCAACAACCCCCTCACCCCCTGGACAAATTTTGGGGAATCCCGACCTCCTCCTAACTTCCAAAATACGAATTCCTGCATTTTATTCACACCACACATTGCCCTCAGACTACATCTCCCTGCCCCCAGCCTTCTCCCCCTCAAAATTCATCACCCACCTTTCACACCCATTAAGAGCTTGGTAAAACTATACCTCAACATTCCCCTCTTTTGCCTCCAAGGGCAAAATTCTTTGTTCCAAACCCAAGGTGCACCACCCTCTTTTTTCCCTCATCAATTCTATGATTCCCTCATCTTTCATAACCCATCCCCTGACACGTCCACTCCCAAATATCTGAATCGTTCACCTCCTCCTACTCTCTCCCTCCAATCTGATATTCAATCTTTTCACCTAATCTTTTTGTTACCCATAACCTTTCTCTTTCCCGTATTCACCTTTAATTTCTTCTTTTGCACACCCTTTTCCAAAAATTTACCCCCAATCCTGCAACTTCTCTTTAGAATCTCCCAAGGGCACAGGTCATCAGCAAAGAGCAGCTGTGACAACTCCCCTTTGTGTGTGATTCTTTATCTTTTAAACCCCCGCCTCTTGCCAAACCCTCGCATTTTCTTTTCTTACAACCCCATTATAAAAAATAAAACAACCACGGTGACATCACAATCCTTTTCTAAGGCCTACTTTTACTGGGAAAAAATTTCCCTCTTTTCCCACATACCTAACTTTTGGCCCCCACTATCCTCGAAAAAATCTTCACTGCTTTCAGTAACCTACCTCCTACACCATACACTTGCAAAATCTGCCCATTGCCCCCCTATCCACCCTGTCATACGCCTTTTTTCCAAATCCATAAATGCCACAAAAACCCCTTTAGCCTTATCTAAAAACTGTTTCCCTTTTATTTTCACTTTAAAAACCTGGTCCACCAAAACCCCCCACCTTTCCCCAAAGCCTCCTTTTCATCTGCTATCCCTTTTTCCGTTTACTCTTAATTCTTTCAAATTTTAAAATTACCATACACTTTACCAGGACCTCAAAACCTTTTTTCCCCCATAATTTTTGACCCTTTTTTTACCCCTTTGCCCCTTTTTACAAAGGAACGCATGCTCTCTGCCAATCCCTAGGTACCTTCCCTCTTCCATAATTTATTAAATAATTGCACCAACCACTCCAAAACTATACCCCCCCTGCTTTTAAATTTAAATCTTTACCCCATAAAATCCCCTGCCCTTACCCCCTTTCATTTTACCCACTGCCCACGAATTTCCCCCAAACATCAGACTGGCTCTTCCCACTCCTACAAGAGTTTTTCCCCCTTCCCTATAAACCCAAAACACGCTTCCCATCTTCAATCAACATTTTAAAAATTCCCCAAAAAATTCCTTCCATTTCCCAATACCTTAATCTCCATTTAAAAACCCCCTCTCCCATTTTTTAACTGACAAATCCATTTGTTCCTAGGCTTTTTTAACTTGTTTAAACCACTCCAAAACTTTTTCTTATTTTCAACAAAATTTGTTTATAACACTCACCCACTCTCTCATTTGCTCTCCTTTTTTTCATTGCTTCACCACTCTTAACTTTTCTCTTTTTCTCCCCTTACCTTCCCCCCTTGCATCACTTCTACTTTGTAAAAACTTCTCATAGCTAACTTTTTCCCCTTACAAATCCTTTTACATCACATTTCCCCCAATCCTCCCTTCCCTCCTGCACCCACTTTTCCCGTAACCCCAAACTCGCTAACACTCTAACAAATAAAATTTTTAAACCTACCCCAAACCTCTCGAAAACCCCTTTTCCCAGCTCTCTTACCCATCTACCTCCAATAGCTGTTTTTACTTCCCTAATGCCTCCTTTTTATTTATAAACCTTCACCTTCTCTTCCCCGATGTTCATTTTCCTTTATCCCAACTACCTTTTACTCTCAGTGTGCTACAACTAGAAAGTGATCGATATATCTGTGGCCCCTCTATAAACAGTACATCCTGAAACTACTCAAAGTCTTTACTACCAATAATATCCAACAAAAAACTGTCATTTCGCCCTACATCATATCGTGTAAATTTTTTTTATCCCTTTTTCTTTTAAAAAAAGTATTCCTATAACTAAACCCCTTTCTATACAAATTCAATAAATATATATATAAATTTTTTTATTATATATATATATATATATATTATATATATATATATTATATAATATTATATAAATATAATTTTATAATATATGCAAAACAACCACTCTGAAAGAATAGAGAAATTCCAAGTGCTTTCGTGACTACTCACATATTTTGAAATCACCTGTTTACCGTGATCTTATGCATATATATATATATATATAATATATATATATATATATTATATATATATATATATAATATATATATATATATATATTATATATATATATATATATATATATATATATATTACTGGAGTACTCACAATTTCTGTAAATACTATGCTTGGCAACTTGCATAATCTTACTCGTGGTGCCCTGAACTCACACACTTAAGTGATAACCACAGACCAGCTTGGTGTGACACGCTCTTCCACTCTCTCCTCCGAGGAGTCCCGTCAAAATCTTGTACTTTTGTTAGTCCGGTGATCATCCTTCCCTTCAAAGAATCCTGTGATCAACTTGTTCTTCAGTGATGTGATCAATCTGTTCAAAAAAGTCTCCTGATCAACCTATTCTTCAAAGAGTTCTGTGATCAACCTGTTCTTCAAAGACTAGTGTGATCACCCTCAACTCTAAATAGTTCTGTGAACTACCAAATATGGAAATAGTTCTGAGAAGTACCCTTACTCCAAATTATCGCGTGTAAAGCCCTGCAGTCAAACGTCTCTCTACCAACAAACAACGTTTCTCCTTAAAAAGTAAGTATATTATTTATGTGGAAAATTGCATTTATCTGAATGTAACTAATTATGTACATAACAGTAAATGATAACAAAGATAATTATTATTTATCAATGTTACATAGACAAGTAGGAATTTGGGACACCTAGGTCGCAAAAAATGTCCCCCTTCAATACCTACCACTGTCATAACCACAAGTTGCTCTGGACCTATTAATTACCAATGAAATATGTATAACCAGGAATACTGGTAAATATATAAATTTGTGGACTGTATATTAAAAATAATTTATTGATTATTATTACATATATATAGCACAATTACATAACAGAGGAATAGAATCTTATTATCACTCACCAATTTTGATGGAGATTAATGTGGATCATACTCAGAAAACCTCACTCTAGCTAAATCTATGAAAATAATGCTGGCTGAATTAACACAATTAGAGAGCTGTTTTTGAGTTCCTGGAGCTGTCTTGTCCAGTCGCCCCACCGCATGATATCTCAAGTTATGAAGGAATAGCACATCCACCAATTTCACCTCCTATTTGAGAGGTTTGTCAACACAAATTTTAACCTCTAGAGCACGATAATTTCTTCCCATTACACCAACGTTTGTACAAAATTCAAAACCAAGATGGCGAGTCTCGTCTGCGCAGACGCAGGCTTTCCGTTTTCTATGACATTAATATTATTAAATACAGTATTGTCATTATTTACATATAATTACTGAATTTTCCCCTTTTGGAAAATATGTACAGTATTTTCCACAATTTATATAGACTCATGAATGTTGTTGTATCAATGTGTAATGACTACTTCTCAACGGCAAGCTATAACCACATGGAGACAAACAGAGGATAGAGTTTGGCTCACCAACCCGAAAGGATCAGGTTCGTAATACTGGGCCTAAACACGGAAGTAAGATCAAGTCTCCTTACAGAAATTTGCTAGCTGTTACCTTATCTGTGTAGGCCTTGTATAAGTTGTATCATCTACTTGTAGAAACAAAGATTATCAGGCGTTATGGCACACGTTTGTTATGAATTATGACAGGGAAACCCATACTGTGGTTGGTTGTCTCCCCATACCCATCTGTGGACACGGTAGATTACCCCCATACCCATCCCGTAGCTGGCAGTCACCCCATAGCTCCCCATCCTTGGTTGGTAGTCACCCCATACCCATCCTGGGTTGTAGTCACCCCCATAACCCATACTGTGGATGGATAGTTACCCATACCCTTCTGTGGTTGGTTGTTACCCCATCCCATCTGTGGTTGGTAGTCACCCCATTACCCATCCTGTGGACGGTAGTACCCCATACCCATCCTGTGGGACGGTAGTTACCCACATACTCATCTGTGGGACGGTTGTTACCCATACCCATTCCTGTGACGGTAGTAACACCATACCCATCCTGTGGTGGTAGCACCCCATACCCCATACTGTGGACGGTAGTCAACCCATACCCGTCCTGTGGACGGTAGTTACCATACCCATCCTGTGGGATGGTTTTTTCCCCATACAAGCCTGTGGTTGGTTAGTACCCATACCCATCCTGTGGGTGGTTAGTCACCCCCAGTACAATGCCTGTGGACGGTTAGTCACCCCATACCCATCCTGTGGTTGGTAGTAACCCATACCCATCCTGTGGACGGTATTCATCCACATACCATCCTGTGGTTGGTAGTCCACCCCATACCCAATACTGTGGACGGTAGTTACCCCATAACCCATCTGTGGTTGGTAGTCACCCTTACCCATCCTGGGACGGTTAGTCACCCCATACCATTCCTGTGGTTTGGTAGTTACCCCATACCCTTCCTGTGGTGTAGTAACACCTTACCTTCCTTTGGTTTGGTTGTCACCCCTTACCCATCCTGTGTTGGTAGTCACACCATACCCTTCCTGTTGGACGGTAGTTTAGTTACCCCATTTACCCATCCCGTAGATGGCAGGTCACCCCATACCCTTCCTGTGGTTGGTGTCACCCCATACCCATCAGGTGGATGGTAGCTCCCCATACCCAGCCTGTGGTTGGAAGTCACCCCATTACCCATCTGTGGGACGGTTGTTACACTCTTACCCATCCAATATATGGCCAGTCACCCCATACCCTTCCTGGGTTGGTAGCACCCCATCCATCCTGTGGTTGGTATTCACCCCATTCCCATCCTGTGGTCGGGTATTCCACCCACTTAACCATCCTGTGGGTCAGTAGTCACCCAATACCACTCCTGTGGAGGTAGTTTACCCTCTTACCCATCCTGTGGGACGGTAGTCACCCAATACCATCCTGTTGAAGACGTAAAGTCACCCTATACCATACTGTGGACGGTAGTCACCCCATACCCATCCTGTGGATGGTAGTTTCCCCTTCACCTTCCTGTGGACGGTATCAGTCAAACACCACATACCCTCTGTGGACGGTAGTCACCCCCCCATACCAATCATAGTGGACGGTTAGTTACCCCATTACCCATACCGTAGATGGCAGTCACCCATACCATCCTGTGGCGATGGTAGCACCCCATAACACATCCTGTGGTTGGTAGTCTCCCCTTCCCATCCCTGTGTGATGGTAGTGGACACCATACACATTCCTGTGGGTGGTAATCGCCCACTTACCCATCCTCTGGGTGGTAGTCAACCCATACCCATCCTGTTGGATGGTAGTCTCCCCATACCCATCCTGTGGGTGGTAGTCACCCTATACCCATCCTGTGAATGTGTAGTCCCCCATACCTTCCTGTAGGGGGTACTCACCCCAATCCCCATATGTGGGTGGTAGTCACTCCATACCCTCATTATGGGGTTCTTCTTGAGAGGAGCCATGGTAGCTTGACTTGCTAACACCCTCAGCTCTCACGCTAAAGTCCGGTGGTTCGACCCCGGTACGGGTTGGGGAAACATTTGAACATGTCTACTTATGTAGTATGGGAATACCTTCCTAGTATGCTGCAGCAACTGAAATACATAATAATAATAATAATAATAATAATAATAATAATAATTATTATCTATTATTCATTATTATTATTATTTACTGTTTGGTAATAATTAATAATAATAATAATTATAATAATAATAATAATAATAATAATATCTTTATTTCTACCAAGTACATGTGTACAAGGTTAATACAGACCATTGCTGGACATCATGGACATACTACTATATAGAAAGCCTCTTGTTATGCTGGCATTTCGGGTAAATTAGTTGTTTTTAAATTCAGTTTTATCCCGGGATGGGACTCCACACCAGGCGACTAACTTCCAGGTCCTATTTTTACTGATGGGGACATAGAAACCAGTGTAAAGAACACTCCCAATGTTTCTACCCTCGCTGGGAATCGGACCCAGACCCTTCGCCATGTGAAGCGTGAGTTTAGCCACTAGGCCGGGGAACAGTGAGGAGGGACACTGTGAGGAGATAGGAGGACTATTCACCTCACCACTTGGAGTTAAGGAGCATATCAATGAATATAATAAGATAAACATCTGACTCAATACTTGTCATGTGATAATGTTATATGGTTATTTTAGAATTTTATGTGACTGCTGAGGTCATAAGTTGGTGGCCACAACACAGATATGTAAGAAAAGTTTACCTCTGAAAAATCTTCCCATTAGAAGCCTCGTAGATCAATAGTATATGTGCTGGATTGCTATGTTCATTAAACATTTCGAGTCTCCGCCCATTCTTTGTTTATTCATATCAGATCATTATTAACTGGTTAGGTTACAGTAAGAGGTAGACATGATACAGGCTAATGCCTTCAGTAGGGCATGAGAGAAGAGACATTATTAAATTAAGGAGGTAGAAAAAGTAAAATATTAAGCAATTATCGGGAGAGAAAAGTAGTGGGGGACCAGTGAGAGTACACTGAGGAGGAGGCAAAGACGGTTAGTGAAAGATTTTATGAAGCAATGTTAGAGAGTGCGCAGCAGAAGTTGGTGGCGTAGAGGAGAGTCGGTTCGACTCTCCTCTATCATTCCACCCAGTCGTTCCGATGGTGGATAAAGGTTAAAAGAGTGTGGCATTGGGAGGAAAAAAAGTTAGTATGTAGAAGCTTCTCGCAATGTAAAAGTGATATTACTGAGGGAGAGTATATGGAGAATAAAAGAGAGATTAAAAGAGTAGTGGAGTTTAAAAGGGAGCAGTGAAGAATGAGCGAAGTTCTATTCAAACAAATTTTTGCTGAAGCCACCCCATCAAAAGGCTTGAAGATTAAAAAGTTGGAGAATGCTTTGGGTAAAAATGGACTTTGCAGTTCAATATGATCAAATAAGGGTGGGCAAAGTATTTAGAGATTGGCAGAGAGCATACATAGTTCCACTGAAAAAAGATAAAGTGGGATAGTAGAGGAGGTGTAAGAATTATGCGAAACAAACCTGTATACAAGAATTTGAAAATAGCAATAAATGTTATGCCCATTGCACTCTGCCCAGAAACCCGGCTCGTAGGAACACTCCGTGTTCATAAGAACTGTAAGGGGCCCCTTTCACGTTGCCCATAGTATTCTAGCAAGAAGGGAGCATCCCACAGTTCAACTTAAAAAACAACAGTCAGCCCCCACTCACAATAGGTGGCAGTAAGAACACCATAAATTTTTTTTTTGCGGCGGGGGGAAAGCATTACTGACCAATTAGCACTAACATCAACCCATCCTCCAATTCTTTGAAAAGGTTTCTAGAAGAAAGTCGTCACCCCACTGTGTTTACCCATATTTTACACCAACCAGGGTTCCATGGGTTTAGGATTAGTCCTCCTGCCTGTTCGACTACTGGACCACTATGACATGGTCTTGGATGCTATGAAGGACAAACAAAATATAGATGTAGTATACGCAGACTTTACGAATGCCTTCGGACAAGTGGCGATCATGGTTTAATAGCACATGAAATACTTGTTAAAGGATTAAAGGAAAAGTGGTAGATGGGATCTACCGAAGGCCTGGTCACAGACGGGCCATGGGGGCGTTGACCCCTCGATCGATACAATCTCCAGGTA